GGTGCCCTTCCCGTAGAAAGTTCACCTTCTGCAGAGACTGGGCTGTAAAAACAAACCCTTCCCTATTAGTTCAGCCAAATGAAGATTTTCAGCTTCTGGATTCCTCTCAAAGGAGGTCTTTTTTACTATTTTTTACTTTTTTACTATTGTAAAAATATTTACAGCCCCCTTTTGTTGTCTTGTTTTGTAGCGATCGTTGAATAATTGCAGCAAGCTCAGAAAAATGATATTACATGTGAAAATAGTAGATCTTTCCTGTCTTGTACAGTCCATTGGTTTCTGACTGGTTTTGTTGTTTTTTTAGCCAACAGCTTGGTTGACTTTGATTCTTTGAGGCTTATCCTGCACTAATCCCTTGACAGTCTGTATGGTCCTTCCACGAGGCACCTCAGTCATCAGTCAGGTTTCAGGGCAGGTGGAAAAGCAGCCAAACTGTGTGGTCTCCACAGAAGGTGAAAAGCTGTTCTTAAAATCTGCCTGCGTTGAACTGCAATCTAATTTGCCCCTCAGGTTTTTTTCCTTAATTAGCGAGGAAAAATATCACTATTGATGGTTCCTGGTGTCCTTTTCAATGGCTTGGGCACAGAGGAGAGAAGGGCAGGCCCCGGGCAGTGCCCATCCCTGTGCTGGCACCGCTGAGGGACCTCGAGGGCTGGGCCCAGTTCTGGGCCCTCAACAGGAGAGACCCGGAGGGGCTGGAGCGTGTGCAGGGAAGGGAACGGAGCTGGGGAAGGGGCTGGAGCAGCAGGAGCAGCTGAGGGAGCTGGGGGGGCTCAGCCTGGAGAAAAGGAGGCTCAGGGGGGACCTTCTGGCTCTGCAAGTCCCTGACAGGAGGGGGGAGCTGGGGGGGGTCGAGCTCTGCTGCCAGGGAACAAGGGACAGGAGGAGAGGGAACGGCCTCCAGCTGTGCCAGGGGAGGCTCAGGTTGGCCAGCAGAGGAATTTGTTGCTGGAAAGGGTGGTGAGGCCTTGGCAGGGGCTGCCCAGGGAGGTTTGGAGTGCCCATCCCTGGAGGTGTCCCAGGAAGGCCTGGCTGTGGCACTCAGTGCTCTGGGCTGGGGGACAAGGTGGGCATCGGGCACAGGGGGGACTCGGTGACCTTGGAAGGCTTTTCCAACCTCAGTGATTCTGAGATTCTGTTTGTGCAAAGAATTGCAAAGGCAGATTGTGAACTTACTGTGAGACTTAATGGACAAACTGTTGATGCATCACATCAGATTTATGGTTAAGAGGTTCCCTCCCTGGCATTTTAGGCCAAGGATAGAGACAGGATGTGAGGAACAAAATTACAGATATCTAAAAGGAGAAAGACCCATAATGTCAGATTCTTTGTAAATTAGGAGAATAATACTTTAAGGATGGCTATTTATAGGCTTATTTGCAAACTTCTGTCTCTCAAAAAGAGAGTTTGAGTGCCTCATAAATATCTGAAGAAATTTCAGTCCATTTGTAAGAGGAAAAGAATCGCTGTATCAAACCAAACCAAGCAGAAGTGCTTTGTGAAACCAAGCAGAGCTGTTACAGAGGGCAGCAGAGGAGAGTCCAGTGAGATGCAGAACTAAAAGCAGTGAAATCAGTTAAATAATGATCCTTTACTAGAGACTGTGAAGCTCATCACCACAACAAGATTTTAAGTTGATGAAATACTTTTTTAAGTATGTAATTGGAATAATGTATTCTCAGGTCCATTGAAAAATAAAGCTGTTTGAGCTCTTTAGTCCTTGCAGAAGGCTGAGTTAGGCAGAAGTCAATCTTCTTGTGTTTTGTAGAAACCAGGGACCAGTTTTCATGTAAGACAATCTTTAGGTTTTTATTTTTTTTAAGCAGATTTCTAAGAGAGAAATAAACCCTCTTCATATGTTGGGATTGTGTAGTTATCCTGGTTTCACAGAGAAGTTGTTGACACCCCATCCCTGGAAGTGTCTAAGGCCAGGTTGGATGGGGCTTGGGGCGACCTGGGCTAGTGGGAGGTGTCCCCGCCCATGGCAGGGAGTGGGACAAGATGATCTTGAAGATCCCTTCCAACCCAGACTGTTCTGTGATTCCATGAAAAGGTGTATTGCTGGGTAGCTGTGGTGGCTCTGTGTCCTTGTGACTCCTGCTGTGGTGCTCCTGTGAGGGACTGAAAACCTGAAAGAGTTTAATGACTCAAACATTCAGCAGAGGAGAAAAGGATCATTCCCATGCCAAGGAGATAAGGGGCTGTTAGAAAAGAAGGTCTTTGAGGAGGCTTTGTGGGACCACCATCCAAAGGACCAGGGTGGAATCAGGACCACTGGAATCGTGTCTGGTGACCTGGGGTTTTTTTCCCTCTACCTCTCTTTTTCTGTCTTTCCTTCTACCTTTCTTCTTCTCCTTAGAACTTTAAATCCCTGTTGCCACGTGTTGTGCAGAAAAGTTTAATTTGCTGGCTGTTCAGAAAGGTTTAAATTGTTGCCACCACAGGCCGTTCAACCTGTCATAAAGTTGAAATCGTTGCTGCCATAAATAAAAGTTTCTAATTGAACTTCGGCGTTGCTTCACCTTAATTTAGCCCAAGGGTACTCCCAAACTCGGAGTAGGCAGTCCAGGAATGTCCTGTAGGGACCTGATAATTTGCAGCTCTCCCAGAGCAGGTGGCCCAGGACTACCCTGTGGGGACAAAACAGCTGCTCATGGACTTACTAGTCTTGAACACCAGAGAGAAGCAAATCTGTTGCTGCTTTTCCCCTCTCCTGTTTCCTAATTATCCCTTGCAGGATATTCTCCCACTGCTTTCACAACTCTTTCCTGTTCCCATTTATGTGTCATTTACTTCCTTCAGTTGCCCCAGTTCTTCCATCCCTTAAGCTCCTCTTTTCCCAGTCTGGAAAAATTCAAAACAGCTGAAGCCATTAGGGGGGTGGTGGTGGTTACCTTGGGGTTTTTTTTGGGGGAGAACCTCTTGTTCAGATGACAGATTTGGATTACTAACCCTTCTTTGCATCATCTTTGAGTCACAGTCATGAGGGAAATACAAAAGCTGGTGGATTTTATAGATTTTAGAGGAATTGTTGAGGAGACATCAACCCTCTGGATTGTCACAGGGTTTGTAACAAGCTTTTTTTTCCTGGTGAAATCCTCTTTATGTTAAAACTCGTGGTGGTGTCCCAGAAGCTTCCAGGTCAAGCTCCTGGCTCACTATAGCTGTACAGATGTTATTGAACAAGAAATTGTGCAATAAAACATGTGGGTAGACACAGTGGCTGAAAAGTTGTTGCTCCTTGAACTTGAAACTAATCTTTGGTGCAAAGTTACAGATATTTGGCAATTTTTCATCTCTGCTGTGTTAAACCAAAATAATTTTAAATAACCGATTGAAAAAAACGTACTGGGGTGTTTTTCTCCACAGGGCTGTAAACCAGTTTGCTGGGGTTAAGATCAGTGATTAATTTTACTGTTTTATCAAAAACAAAAAGCATCAGCCCAACTTGGGACTACATATTTATAAAGAGTTGCTGTTTTGAAGTGAAGGTGTGAAGAAACTTCATACTGCACTTTGGAATAAATTATTTGGGCCCTTAATACAGGAGGTTACGTGATAAATATTTTAACCTAATTTAAATGTTCTGCAGCTCCTGATTTTCTCCCCAGTTGCTGGTGAACTTCCACAGAGATCATTCCTCGGAGTATTTCCGTGTGAAGCAAACTGGGTAGTGTTAATTTGTCAGAGAACTGAAATTTCAGAGAAGTGTTTATGAATACTGCGCCTGCCAACGCGAGGCACCGCGGGGCAGCACTGGGGGTTGGTCATGCTTGATATTTGAGGACTGAGTTGGAGTGTTTTACACAGGGAAAGGATGTGCCTTGTGGGTGCTGGGAATGACCAGAGCTGACTGTGGAAAGCAGGGCTTTGAACCGCAGGGTTGGGACACCATGGTCTCTGGTGAGGCCCCACCTGGGTCACCGTGCACAGTTCTGGTGCCTCCGGAATAACAAGGTCGTGGAACTGTTGGTGGAGTCCAGAGGAGGCCACCAAGTTGCTGAGGAGACTGGAGCACCTTCCCTGTGGAGACAGGCTGGGAGAGCTGGGAACGTTCAGCCTGGAGTGGAGAAGGTTGTGTGGAGACCTCACAGCACCTTCCAGGGTCTGAGGGGGCTACAGGGAAGTGGAGAGGGACTGTTCATGAGGAACTGGATCAACAGGACAAGGGGGAATGGCTTCACACTCACAGAGGGGAAATTTAGGTTGGATATTGCGAAAGAATCGTTCCCTTTGAGGAGACCCTGGCCCAGGTTGCCCAGAGAAGCTGTGGCTGCCCCTGGATCCCTGGAAGTGTCCAAGGCCAGGTTGGCCGGGGCTTGGAGCAACCTGGGCTAGTGGAAGATGCCCATGGCAGGGGATGGAACAACAGGATGATCTTTAAGGTCCCTTCCAACCCAAACCATGATTCTAGGAAAAAAAAACATGTTCTGGATGTTGACTGTCTGGCTGCTCCTCATTAAGTACTACCTTTGTCATGGTAAATGTAGTTTTCACATCTTTATCCTGCAAATTCATTTTCTGTTGCAGAGCAACTCAAGGTATAAACCTTTCTTTTTCCTGGAGAGCTTTATGTAACTGTGCTTTTTTTTTCCCCATCACCTTGACGTGTCACTCTTGCTGCAGCAAATTTATTCTGGGTTTGGTTGTTATTTCAGTGCTTTCATTTGTTTGAGGTGAGATTGGGTGATGGTTGCTCAGTGGAGGAAAAGCTCATCACGTTAAGTAGATCGCTGTATGTGATGGGTCTCATCGTCAATTTAAATTATTGTGCCTTGCAAGTGCTGCTTCTGGAATTGTCTGAAACAGCTGCAATGTCAGAGGCAGCTCTTTGCTACAGATAATGAGGTTTAAACCTCTTTAAACATCACTCAAAACATGAAATACCAGAAATCCGAGTTAAAAACCCAGTATTTTGACTGTTGCCGTTGTTACAAAAATGCATAAAAATGTAGGTTACCCCTCTAAATGTCTCCCTGGTGTGTTTATTGTCCTTGCAGGCACTATCCTGGTTGACAACATGCTGATCAAAGGGACAGCAGGAGGGCCTGACCCCACCATCGAGCTCTCCTTGAAGGACAACGTGGATTACTGGGTGATCCTGGATCCCATCAAACAGACCCTGTACCTGAACAGCACCGGCCGAGTCCTGGACAGGGATGTGAGTCTGGGGGGGCTCTTTGTTTGCTTTCCTCCCCATGGACATCAATTCCTAATTAACCATAACCACCAGACCGGCTGGAATATAATTCCTGCATCTATCTTGTCCCCAGATGGATGTGGACAGAGTTAATTGGGTTCTTCATTAGGATTTATTGGGAGCACACAGAAACTTGGCCATGTGTGCAAATACTGTGTGTGGACAAACACAGCAATAAAGACCAACCAAACAAAGGTGTGGGTTTTACATCCAGCCAAACCTGGCTCCTCTGCTGAATTAAATTTTTATTGTGCATTGAATTTTGAGATGTGAGAAGAGCAAAGGATTTGTGACTACTACAAATCACTTACAAAGCTTGACATGTTCAATTGAGAATGTGCTGGTTTAGATTCTTTTTTTAGGGCAGCATAAAATTCATGTGGTACATTCGTTCCTAATGGCATTGAAAGAAATATTGTCAGGCTAAGTTTGACTTTTATAAAAAGAAAGCTAAAAAGCACGAAAGAAATAGGAGTGTTCTCATCTAGGCTAATTTCATTGAAGAGCAACACTTTAAATATAGAGATATTTTCTCACAGTGGTGCAGCATTGCTGCAGTTCATCAGAACCTGAAAGGAAAATTGACTCCAAAGTGCTGTAATCAATATGGCAAGGATGCTTTAAAACTCAGGAGTTCTACTTGGAGTGCAGGGAAGTTTGTTTTGTATTAGCTTGATTGATTAATTTGTCTTCTCCATGTGTTTTGAGATCTATTCATAAGTACCAAAAACAACATGCAAATTTTCCCTCATTTCCATTTTGAGCTGAAAAAGAGCTAATTGAATTCAGCTGTTCTTAATTTAGTTTTAATTCACAAGCTGTTCTCAGATGCAGAGCACAGAGTGGCACAGTGGTCACGGTGGCAGAAGCCTTGTGGTGCCTCTCGGCAGAGTCGGCGCTTGCTCGAGCACCAAACAGCAGCTGCTGGAACATGTTTGGCCTTTCAGTTTTCATTTTAAGTCAGAGCAAAAAAAAAAATGAGAGCCTGGAATGGGAGGTGAGCCTGAAGAACCACTGTAAGAAATGCAGGATCCATTCTTCTTCAACCCATGGAATCCTGCACGTCCGTATGGGGTCAGGAACTGGCATTAATCCCCCTTAGGTCAATGCTAATTCTTTTTCAGTGCCCCTTTTAGTGACAGTTCTCTCCCTCTGGGGTTGTTCACCTGAGCTGCTTGACCTGAATCTTGCTTTACCAAAAGGATCTTGTCAGATTATTTGAGCTCCAGTATTAGCAACAATCTGAATCAACTCAAAGATACTTCACATCCTAGTGAATTCACAGCCATTTTACAGGGATGCTCCTTGCCAGAAGGAGACTCAAGTCCAGAGGACAATTGAAGTGTGTACCTATATAATTATATATAGATAATAATGTGTTTAAATTGGTATTTAAGGTATTAATTCCTCACTTTTTGCTGTGAACTTAAACACGTCTTATCTCTGGTACTGTGTAAAATTACTCCTTTGTGGTTATTTCAGTTTAGTGGGCTATGAAAAGAGAATCTGGGATTTGAGGTCATTTAGGTTTTGGGTGTAAGCTCCACTGTAGATCTTCCATGGGCTCAGTGAGTTGCTGGAACTCACAAGCCAAAGAAAATGAAAGCAGCCCTCAAAAACCCCAGTGACTGAGAAAAACTATGAAATGTGTCATGGGCTTGATTAATGTGGCTCTTTTGGGGCCAGGGGGAAGTGGTGAGTTGGCAGTGCTGGGTTAACTGTTGGACATGGTGCTCTTGAGGGTCCTTTCCAACCTTAATGATTCTAAGATGCTGCAAAGGCTGTTTCCAACCTTCAGAACCAGCTCTGTGCTCACCCCCAAAAATGCAGAATCATTCAGACTGTGGGTGGTTCCTTCTTTTGTTAACAAAAACCCCCAAATGTGTTTTTCTCATCTTTCAAGTTAAAACCAGGTGAAACTTGGTTTTGGAAATGGGGGGGAGGTTATTAAGTCAAACCTTTGGATTCAGTTTTTATTACAGAGGAAAGATATATTCTCTGATTCACAAATGGTGCATGTACAAGCACGTTCAATATATTTGGATACTCTTCCCATTTTTCTCTCCCTGCTGATTCAGTTATCCTGATCCTGTTCCTGTGGTTTATTGCCTTTCTTGAAAGCAAATCTTATTGGATTCCATTGATTGATTTTACTAAGAATGGCAGTGTGTTTTCCAGATAAAATCAGATAAAAAGAAAATTCCAGACTTTACTTCCAAAACTTTAAGTACTTAGGAAGGGTGAATAGTGATAGTTCAGAGCTGAAGGTGCCAGGAGCTGCTAAGAGGTGCTGGAATGATCTGTCCCCAGTGTCATAAACAATTTGTGCCATTGTGCCATTATGTATTTAATTTTTTTGCCTATAAATGCCCAGACTGATGAGAGTTTGTTTAAACACCTGATTTTAGATCTAAGCACTGACCCAGCAGAAATTTTAGATCTGTGGAAGGAATGCTGGTCCTGTTTCTCTCATATTTTATCAAAAGTAACAAACTATTTTTTCCATGTTCTCGTGACAAAGACCAAATCCAGAATATCAAGTGGTTATCAAATATCTGTTTTTTCAACTAATTATATTTTTCTTGGGCATAACTAATAAATCTAGATCTACTCAGTAGTGTTTAAGCTTATTAAAGGCAGCCTAAAAATTCTTAGGTCTTACTCAGATGAGTAGTAATAGACATTCCAGCCTAAATTTCTTTGCCCATTCATTGAGTTTGGGAGTTATTTGTATTTGAATATTACAATGTTCACTGGAATGAAAACATCAGGAGTCTGGGTTGTCTACACTGAAAGTTGTTTCTGAAGTATTTGTAAACGTAAATGGGAGAAAACTGGATTTATTTCTGGTTTGACCTTTCAACTGGAGACAAGAAAGAAACAAGAAGGTTGTTGGAGCAAGTCCTGAGGAGGCCCCGGAGATGCTCCAAGGGCTGGAGCCCCTCTGCTCTGGAGTCAGGCTGGGGGGGTTCACCTGAAGAAGAGAATGCTCCAGGGAGAGCTGAGAGCCCTTTCCAGGGCCTAAAGGGGCTCCAGGAGAGCTGGAGAGGTACTGGGGACAAGGAATGGAGGGATAGGACAAGGGGGAATGGCTTCCCACTGCCAGAGGGCAGGGTTAGATGGGATAGTGGGAAGGAAACGTTCCCTGTGAGGGTGGGGAGGCCCTGGCACAGGTTGCCCAGAGAAGCTGTGGCTGCCCCTGGATCCCTGGAAGTGCCCAAGGCCAGGTTGGACGGGGCTTGGAGCAACCTGGGCTAGTGGAAGGTGTCTCTGCCCATGGCAGGGGTGGGACTGGACGCTGTTTCTGGCCTTGCATTCCCGTGCGGTGCAAACCATTCCAGGATTCTCTGAATTCCACCGTTCATAAACCAAGGTTTCCCACCTCCAGCATTTTCTCGGGATCTTTATAAAGTTGCATTTTCCCTTTCAGCCCCCGGTGTCCATCCAGTCCATCGTGGTGCAGGTGCAGTGCGTGAACAAGAAGGTTGGCACCATCATCAACCACGAGGTGCGGATCGTGGTGAGGGACCGCAACGACAACTCCCCTCAGTTCCAGCAGCAGCGCTACTACGTGGCCGTGAACGAGGTCAGAACCCTCCCATCATCTTCCCTGCCAGTGCTAAACCCCGGCTTCCAGTGCCTCCCATTTGAAAACCCCATAAACTCAGTCGTTTTTCAAGTCCCTTACGTTTGTGTCCCTTTAGAATCCGAAGCTGGGCCTCCACGAGTGAAGTGATTTCTGTGACATTAATGCAATTGTAGCAGCAAACCTGGAAGTAAAACAAACAGGAAGTAAAATGAAAAGTATTTATGAAAGAAAAACCATAAAAACCCCAAAGTAAATAGTTCAGAAGGATTTGTTAACAGTGTTGAAACTTGGCAAAGTGCAGGTTTGGTTTATTGCTGTTTCTCTTTATTAAATGATGGCTGTGGAAGGAATTATTTTGCTTTGTATCCTTATGGAGCAGAGAGCTGTGGATTGGACTTCTCTGTGTTATTTGAAGGCAAAAAAAAACTATTTCTATCTTGGGCTGGTACAGCTTCATTTCACTTTACAGTTAAGTGTCTTATTCTCTTAGGGATGGAATAATCTGCTAATAAGCAGTACAAAGGATCTCTGTTTTCAGTGTTGGTATCTCGGGGCTTTAGTACTAAGAAGCAGAAGTGGAGACTTACGTATGGAAGTGGAAATATCCAGGCTGAAATTATGTGGAGAATGGAAGGTCTTGTGCAGGTGAAAACTGAAAGAAGTAGAGTTGCTTTTAAAAAAATGAAGCTGTTAAATGTCTGTGTGCATTGTGTCCCAGCTGGGGTTTGGTTTGAGAGGCAGGGCTGACTGCTTTCATGTTGTTTGGTTTGAATACAGTTGATTTACTGTTTCAAAAAGAAATCTCCTAGTTTTTTGTGTTTGGGAGAGTCAGGTTTTTGAGGTGTCTGTGTGTTGTTCCAGTCTCCAAGTGTGCAGTGATGTGCAGGACGTCCCATTGCCCCCAGTAAAGGACTGGGAGAGTTGGTTGATGAGTTTAACCCAAAAGTGTGCAGAAAAAAATCCCGAATCCACACATTATATTGAAATAGAGACCTGAATTTGAGATAAGGATGTGCAGGCATCTCAAACTTCCTGGTCTCCTGAGAGGTGACACCTTTTAAAGTGAGACTGTTTCCCTTCAGTCAAATTTTTGGCCATCCTGGCTGGTGTGACTTACACTGGAATGTGGAGGTCCCAAAATACCATTGTGGGCACACCAGGAAAGTCCTCCTGATGCTTGTACGTGGTTTTCAAATTGGCCTTTACATGGCCATGGAATTTCTCTGTTTTACCAGTTTCTGGAACGTTTCTGGTCTGGAGTAAAGGCAACATGAACACGAGTCTGAAGTGCCTGTGTGGGCTGTGATGTAGGGCCAAGATCACTTCCAAAACCTGCATAATTTTGTGAGCAGAGCTGAAGGCTGGCAGTGTGTCAGTGCTGTCATACTGAGGAAACAAGGATTTTCCTTAATTAGACTGAAGTCCGAAAGGCAGAGCGAGAAATGCCCCACTCACAATTGTTTCTGTTATTGAGCAATGTTCCCTGCAAACATTTATTTGCATTATTACTGGGCAAAATGTTGCTCTTTCCACCAGCTGAATCCTGATTTAATTAATATCTTAGGTTCATTTTATCCCTGTTCCACCTAGAACATCTGACATGGCACCACTGTGCCCTTGAGCAGCACCCAGGGGGTTAATGCTCCCATTAATTAATTAACAGCAAAAAAATACACAGAGCATCTCAGACTTCCTCAAAGGTTTTAATGAGTGATTAATTTGTTTTAATGCTGCTTTGTTCTGCTCCTAATTGGCACCGCCTCTAGTGAATTTAGCAACAGGAATGCACTGGTATGAGGGACTTAGTGGTTATTTTTTGCTTCTGTTTTTCGGTTGTTTGTAAACCAAAAAGCGCAGAAATGTCTCTTTCCTAAGTAACATAAATCAAAGGGCAAGTAGATTTTATTACATTTTGGAGAAATAGAATGGTTTTTATGTCAAGTCATCTTTATATTTGAACTGTCCACACCACAGTAAGATGAGTTTGTCACAGAAGCAGAGGGTACTGGTAATAGCAACATAAATCCTGGTTTCACACGTGTCTTTTCCCTTGGCACAGAAAAAGACATGGTTTAAAAGCAAGCCTGGATTTTTCCAGAAGGCTTAGAATGAGATGGATGGGGAAGGGTGGTGTCTACTCTGTTTTATACCAAAAGGTGTTTCAGTTTTTGTATTTGATTGGAATAACCCAGCACAGAGTTAGACTAAAAGCTTTCCTAATCCCGTGTGTTTCCTTGCTCAGTGGCCCTTGCAGATGCTCAAGGAAGAGCATAAGGATTAGGAAAAATGAAGTGGTGCTTTCCTAATGAGTTCCCCAAGCTCCAGTCCCTGGTACCTGTAAAATCCATCAAACCAAAGGCAATGTATGCAACAACTTCCTCTTGCCCAGTTGCTTGTGAACATCAGTCCCTCCTTTCCTTCTTTACTCCAGGTGATCTGGAGCCTTTTTTTCGGCATGTTTTGTCTTGTACCGTAATTCCTCACTCTGCTGCTTCAGTTGTCTTCACCTGGCTCCTAAAAATCCTGAGAAATCTCAAGACTTGAATAGTGTCTGTGGAATGTTCTGGGTGTTGTCCAGCGTCCTGTAGGGACTTCATTGTTTTCTTCTGTCATCGCCACACCCGGACCTGTAGGAGACCCCCGAGGAAAGGGGATCCAAAATTAAATGGTGCAGAGAAGTTCATGTTCCCCTCCAGCACATGTGTGGGTTGAAACTGTGGCTTTTGCATCCAAACATCAAAGTTATCATTGCATGTTTATTGAGGAAATACTTTTTTTCCGGAGGATTTTAATCATTTCTATTAAAAGTCTTCTTCAAGCCAAAGAATGAGTCTCAGCCGACTCCAGCTGCTCTCCACAGCATTTTGAATCTCCTCATGAAAGTAAAAACAACTTAAGGTTGATGTCCCCATTCTTATGATAATTAGAAATACTCTGCAGAGTTATTTCCTTGGCTTTTTGCTTTACATATTTTTATTTATATGAAAGTATCACATCATTATTCATTTAGAGAAAAAATCCTGACAGTGACATCAGCCTGGGGCTAAATCTGACTGGATGTATTAGTGACTTGAAGATAGGAGTTATTGCAGTATTAAAACAAAGTTCTGGAGCTGGGGTGGAATTCAGAAGAGTTATGCAACTAATTAAAATTCCACAGGCAAATCTATAGCATTGCTGCAAGGGTTTTAAATTTATGTATCCTAATGTGGGGATTAGGAAGTAAAATCTTGTACTGCTGAGGCACCATTGTGGTTGTCTGTGTTTTGTGTTAAATTACAAGTTTATCTTGATAGTTTTTATCTGAGCTGAATACAGCTCCAATTCAGCATTGCCTGGGTTTCCTAAAACTGACTTTTTTGGTCTTAGTTTTTCCACTTACCCGAGTCCTACAGAGGTGTTGGGAAGCTCAGGAGCTTTTAATACTGGAAATGGTAGTGGAGTTACAAGAACACTGTTGAAGTCAGTATCATGTCATTAAATGTACATAACTGTAGAGCTGCTTGGAATCCAAAACTGTAGGGTTGATTCATTTATTGGTTTTGGGGTTCTTCCCCCCCCACACACACCCCTTAAGTTGGCAGAGATGGGAATCCTTTGCAAAATGAGTGTGTTTCTTGAACTTCAGTAATTTCCAAACTTTGGCTTTGGGCTGTTGAGAATTTTAACTTGTGCTGAATTTTCATTTCTTGTTGTGCAATTATTGCTGTCTTTTTCCTTGTGGTAAGGAAATAATTAATCTCTGCAGGTAGACATCATCAAAAGAATGTTAGCTCAGAATGATTAACTGGAAATCTTGCTTTGCTCTGCTCTTTGGGGCCCCTGTGAAAAATTATTCATTTTTAACTTTGTAAATAGCCAATAATAGGAGAATTCATTTTCCAAATGTTTTATGGAAGAACTGAGCATTCCTGCCCACATCTAGACTTCTAATAGACATAAATCACATTGAGGGAAGTTTTTAAGCATTACAGCTGCAGACTGTGGAAGAAGAAGATGTATGGTGTACATTTCCTCTCTGTTTGTTTAATTGCATTCTTTTTGAAATCTTCCTTGTTTCTTGTCACCGTGGTTCTTTTTCACTGGGTGGAATTCCCACGGAGATGATTCTCCTCAGGCTGTCACGTACACTCAGATAATTGTTTCTTTACAATTCCTAATGTTTTATCTTGCAGAAGGTAAGGCACTCAGCATGGTCAAACACTCTGCTACATAACTCCAGTGCCTTTCTGTAGGAGACACTAAAGGTTCATAGGGAGAAACAAAATTCCACTCTTTAAGTAAAGAAATCTTTCCTAATATCCTACCTGAGCCTCTTCTGGCTAAATAGTCACATTTTATTAGGTGAACTGAGTTCCCCCTTGTTGTTCCAACAATAAACTGACAGAAACCCCTCACAAATTTGGGGGTAAAAGTGTTATGGTAAATGCAATAGTGAGAAGTGATATTGCTGGCTAAGGGTAAATCATTGTGATGCTGAGATCTCAGTGCAAAAATATTGTGTGGCTTTGAATGCTGAGGGACCTCTCAAATGATTGGAAGTGAGTTTTGAAGCATCTAGTTAAGAGCTCATCTGAATTTTTCTAAAGGCTGAAGGAGTCTCTAATGTGAGATCTTGAGCAGGCTGGAAAGAGGAGTGGAATGAGGGAGTGGTGAGGATTTTTGTCTCTGTTGTTTCTAGTATCACTTGTGTTGCATAAAGAAAATGTACATAAAATGAAAAGCTGCGTGTCCTGAAGGTCTGCACATCTGCAGTCAGTTATTTTGGATGCAATACATTAAATCCAGGACTTTAGCTTTTGACTTTTACTGTTGGAGCGTGCAATTGTAATTCTGGTGTTTACTGATAGTTCATTTTTACAACTGTCTCCTTTGTTATCACTTAATAATGTGCTTTACAGTGCTGGAGCTTTTTTATGTTGGCCATCCTTTATCTGCACCCTGTCAGAGCCCTGATACAGCTGCTCTGAGGGAGACAGCAAATAACTCTTGCTTTTCCAAACCTTTCCATGCTTCTGGAGAGCACCACAGCTCCTGACCCTTCAGCTGGGAGCACTTGGGCAGGCCCAGCCCTTCCTCAGCCTCTTGGCAGCTGGGAGGTTCCCGCTTGGAGTGGTCTGGTCCTTTGGAATGCTGGCTGGAGCTCTGCCCCCTCCTTTTGCAGGGCATGGTGTCACAGCTGGTGGGAGCAGCAGAAACCCCCTGGGAGTTTCTGTCAGCTCCTGGGCTGGTTGGATGGGGCAGGATTTTTAAAATATTTTAATATTTACTGTATTTTAGTATCATATTGTTTGGAAAAATATGAGACCCCACCAGGAGTACAGTGTCCATCTCTGGGGTGCTCAGCACAGGAAGGATGTGGAGCTGCTGGAGCGAGTCCAGAGGAGGCCACGGAGCTGCTCCAAGGGCTGGAGCCCCTCTGCTCTGGAGCCAGGCTGGGAGAGCTGGGGGGGTTCACCTGGAGAAGAGAAGGATCCAGGGAGACCTGAGAGCCCCTCCCAGGGCCTAAAGGAGCTCCAGGAGAGCTGGAGAGGGATTTTGGAGAAGGGCCTAGAGGGACAGGACAAGGGGGAATGGCTTCCCACTGCCAGAGGGATAGATGGGATATTGGGAAGGAATCCTTCCCTGTGAGGGTGGGGAGGCCCTGGCACAGGTTGCCCAGAGAAGCTGTGGCTGCCCCTGGATCCCTGGAAGTGTCCAAGGCCAGGTTGGACGGGGCTTGGAGCAACCTGGGCTAGTGGGAGGTGTCCCTGCCCATGGCAGGGGGTGGAACTAGATGAGCTTTATATCCCTTCTAACCCAAACCATTCTGTAATTCCCCATGTCTAATGTCTACAGAGCTGCTCCTCTCAGCTCCACCCAGGAGCACCAAGGCTTTTCCATGTTTGGACCCCAGAACCGTGGGAGATTCCCATCGTATGCCACCCCTTGAGGAGCCAGCAGTGCCTGGCTCCTTCCCCTAATGAGACTGTTAATTACCCAGAGATGAATGGGTTAAGCCCTTTTCTTTGGAGCTGTTCAGGGTGTCAGTGCCCAGGGGCTGAGGGGTCTCTGTGAGGATGGTGGGACTGCCCTGGGTGATCCATGGGCCAGCCCAGGGCCTGGCCCAGCCCTCAGGAAAACGGTGTTGAGAGGGGAAAATGCTGTGTGGCAGCAAGGAGGGAGGAGCTGGGAGTTCAGGAGTGATGTTGAACCTGGGCAGAGGGGTGGGATAGAGGGGAAGGTGCTGTTCTGTCTTCCCTTGTCCCCATCCCAGTGTGTTTTTAATTGTTGGTACATCAACTTAATGTCTTCCAAGGCTCATCTCTCCTACCTGTGTGGGCCATGGCTCTGTGCTCTCCCTGTCTCTGCCCTCAAGCACGCTGGATTTTCCTCCCCTGAGCTGCTGAATTTTTCCTGATATCCAACGTGAACCATCCTTGGCTGAACAGTCACATTTTATTAGGTGACCTGAGTTCCTCCTTGCTGTTCCAGTAATAAACTGCCAGCAGCCTGTCAGAAATCCCTCACAAATTCGGGGTCAAATTGGCGTGGCTGGCAAGTGGCCAATGCAACAGGAAGAAGTGATGTTGCTGGCTAATGGGAAAACATTGTAATGCTGAGATCCCAGTGTAAAAATATTGTGTGGCTTTGAACGGGAGGGGCCTCTCCCAAATGATTGGAAGTGGGTTTTGAAGCATGAAATAAGTTTTGAAGCGTGGATGCTGAAAGAGGGGTGAGAGGTGGCCTGGGTGGGGAAAAAAAACCCCTGCAAACCATCCTGGAAATTTTCCAAGCTGGTTTTTGGGTTTGCTTTGGTTTTCTATCCCCTTCCAAAAACATGAGAAAGCCCCTTCCCCCCTGCACATCCTAATCCTAACCCTTTAGTAGGTATGAGGGTACAACCCACATGTGACACTTCTACTGCCTGTCCCAGGAGCAAGTAAGTCAATGTTGCAGCAAAACATAAACATACATAGTTATTGTGGCCTAAGTGTGGATAGTATAAGTATTGTAAATTAAACCCTACCTGTTTCACAACAAAAAGGCTTTGAATTGATGTTTTTTATTTCAAAGATTCAGTATTCTCAGCCCTGAAAACGTTTCTCAGGGAACTCTGTCAACCATTGCACACCTAATTAGCAGCTTTATAAATAAAACAGGAACTATGACTGTAAGAGGAAATGGAGAGTTAATTATTTGCTGTGTGGTGTGAACTACAAAATATGAATGTGAAATAACATCCAGATCTGCAGCAAACATTTGACTGACTGTCCTTTGCCACCTTCTCTTTTTACAGCATTTCAATCCTTTTTAGTCAGTATAGGCTTAAATATGTGCAAAAACTTCTTATAGAATTGAGAAAAAAGAAGAGGGGCCAATGGGACTCTGAATTTCAGGGCCACAAATTTGGGGGCGATGAGAGCAGCGGGAAGCAGGGGCTGTGTTGGATCCAGAACTGTTTGTTCATTTGTTTTTCTCTTTCAGGTTGATTACTCACAAAGTTTCCTGAATATTAAAATTCAGAAACGATGACTCCAAAGAAATCTTCTGTCCTTGGTCTCAATGGGTCTTGATTTCATGCTATTTATCTGTGCGAGGATAATTATAAATTGATTCTTTTTCAGAATATAATTTAATGGGTATTCAGTTGCTGCCAACACAATATTGGAGCAACAGCATCATTCTTGTGTTTAAAACCATAAAGCTCTCTGGGTGTCTGTGTTTGCATGTAACAATATTAAGCTGGCACCGTTCATGTTGCCATGAAGACACTGTCAAATAAGTTCTGTTTACATTTGCAGCTCAGCTTTGTTTTCCTTCCTGAGTCTGAAAAAGCAGCTTTTACTGGGTTTAATCTATATTTATTTCATGAGTTCTTTCAGTTTTAAGATTTTTTTTCTCATCATCTTTTTTTTTTTTTTTTTTTGAAAATAAATGAGGTTCTGTCTTGATGCATTATAGCCCAGAGCTAGGGGGGGAAATAAAACAATAATAAAAAAGAGACTTCAAAGCGTTGTTTAATTTTTTGTTGTATACTTTAAGGTTTTAATGGGTGTCTGTGTGTCACTGTTGTTGCAGTTAACTCCAGTTGGAACCACCATCTTCACAGGATTTTCTGGAAACAATGGTGCTACTGACATTGATGATGGTCCCAATGGCCAGATAGAATATGTCATCCAGTACAATCCTAATGACAAGGTAAATCCATTTTTTCTCCAGCTGTGTGTATATTTATATATATATATATATATATAAATAAAGAAGCTGTGGCTGCCCCATCCCTGGAAGAGTACAAGGCCAGGTTGGATGGGCCTTGGAGCAACCTGGGCCAGTGGAAGGTGTCCCTGCCCATGGCAGGGGGTGGAACTGGGTGTTCTTACAGGTCCCTTCCAACCCAAACCATTCTGGGATTCTGTGATTAATAACCCCCTGCCTGCTCCAGTGTTGTTCACACACTTCACCTTGGCTTTGGAGGCATTATTTTCAGGTAGCTGGATTCACTCCTCCACATCTACACCTGATAGATTCACAGCTAAGATATTCATAGGCATGGCTAAATTACTCTCAAAAGAGACCTTCTGACTTTCCTCACAAAGTCATTTATATTTAAAGATCACTGGTTGTTGTGTTTTTTTTAAAAAGGGTTATATATTATTAAAATGAAACTCTAGTGATCCTTATCATTGCAAACACATGATTTTAGAGCAAACAGTTTAAAGGTACTAAAACAAATTCTCTTTAGAGTTAGATGGGGGAATTTCTCCATTAGAACAAGGTCTTGAACATGAGTGATTTCTGTGAAGTGTCCAAATGCATCTTTGTAGCAAATTTGAAGTAATTTTAGCAATGCTCCTTTGCAAACCCTGGGCTGTGAGCGCAGTTGTGGTGGATCAGCTGGTGGGGGAGTTTGTTCAGCAGCCTAACCTGTTTTTTTAGTCAGGGCACAGATGTTCAAGTGTGTACGTGGGGGTGAAATAGAGTGCATAGATTTGGTAACCTCTCCCTCAAATTCCCTGCTTTTCCTGAAGGGGAATTGGAGCAGAAATGGTTTTGTGGGAAAAGAGCAATCTGGTTTCCAGTTGGGTTAGAAACGCAGGCACACAGCTTGGGATTCAGCTGGCACCATCAAAGCTGTGCACCCATAAAGGCTTCAGTCCTGTTCCCACTGAATTCAACACAAATTGAAATACCTGCAATTGCAGTTGTTGCTTATACTTTGTGGGAGGTAGAACTGTGTGGAACAGTGACAGTATCAGGGAATAATTCACTGAGAACTAATGATGGGAGACCCTTCTTTTTTACTTTTCGCTGGGGTGGTTGTTGATCTTTGCATACTGACATGCTGAGGTGCAATATTTACTTATTATATCTGCATGTTTGGAGGACAGAGGTGGTTCCTTGGAAAACTTTGCAGCATCTTTAAGCCATAATCTTGTCTGGGAAGAACTGGGAAAGAGGCAGTGTCTTTTGTCCAAAGGTAGAATTGGGATGTTAGGTTTTTGGGAGATGGGGAATTTTCTGGTTTTATATGTTGTGTATATTTGGAATTCTTTTGGGGTTTAAAAGTTTGCAGCCATTTTCAGAGATTCAATTGATTGCACAGACTTGAGGAGTCTCTCAAGTTCTGACACTTCCTGCAGTGAGACAGCCTGGTCTAGTTGGTGGCCCTGTCCATGGCAGGAGAGTTGGACTAGATGGTCTTTAAGGTCCCTTCCAACCCAAACCATTTTATGATTCTACTTAAAGGAGTAAAATTTGTAGTGCATGATGTCCTCCATGTCACTCTGTAAGCTGTTCTTTGTACTGGTGTTATGTATGACTGAAGTATTTATTCTGTAAGATTTTATAAAGAAAGGGAAGAGTTTTCTGTGGAAATAGTGAGCACTAAAATGTTCTGTCAACATCATCTTTTAACTGTTTGCATGACAGAAGTGTGGACATGTTGACATGACTAAAAACCAATCCATAAATGCTGTTCCACTACCACAAATATTTGAAAAGTAAATAGAAGACAGGGAGGATTGAAAGGAATGCAGAAGTAGTTTCAAATTTGCAAAGAAAATCCCCAGACAAGCTTTGAGTTCTTCTCCACTCTTCTGTATTACCCTTAACTTACAATACCAAAGAAAACCAGCTCAAATAATCTCTTTCAGTAAAGACTGTGATGAAGATGTTTGCACTGAGAAAATACTTTTTCCATGATAACTTTGAAAATTGAAAGTGTTTTAAAATAGTGAAACATTTTAGCATGCATTGACTATGTTTGTGTACTAAAAAACAATTAGAACAATTTTTAAAAAGTATTTCTATTAGGATGTATTGAGCCACAGTGAAGTAGAAGAACTGCTTTGTATTTAAGTTACTATTAAGTCCTAGCACTGCATTGAACAAAGGCATCCTGGGAAATCATTCTGAAAGCATCTCCTTGAAATAAAGATGCTTTATTGCATCTTTGCTGTACTATTTTGTATCCCAGATTAAATAAATCTGCTGCTTTCATCTGTTGATATGTGCACAACATTGCATTTGGAGCATGTGCAAGACAGGCATGACTTATCATCGTGCTGAGCTGCTTCATCTCTGCTGTCAACTTGCCAGAAAGTTCCTGTGTGATACGTGCTGAAAGTGGATTTTTCTTCCTTAAACTGGGAAAAACCAGGCTCCAAAATGCAGCTTAGTGCAAAACATCTCTGCTTGTTGTGGGATGAAGTTGCCCACGGTGTTGTTTGAGACCAATGAGACCATTCCCTGCCTTAGAAAAGCAGGATGATTATAGCTCATAATCATGGACTTGTTAGGGGAGGAAAAGACCTTTAAGATCATCAAGTCCTTTGGGCTCAGTGACCCCTGTGGGTCTCTTCCAACTTAAAATATTCTGTGAAATTCTGTGGACCATCAACCCAGCACCACCACCATAAGTTTCACTGGAGACTAGTGCAGGCATTTGGAAAAAAAAAGACCAACCTATAAAACCAAGAGGTGTTATTCTAGAAATTCAATTTAGCTTTATTAATTTTTGTCTTTAATTGGGAAGATATATAAAAGCCAAGGAGAAAAATCAATGCCAGACATACTTGCTGTAGGGCTGGGCTCTAGCTGTCACGTAAAGGAATGCCATAAAACTTCTCCTGGCTGTTACAAGCTAAGGATTAAGTCACTTCACTTGCCAAAAACATTCTGTCTCCTGATGCAAAGTGAGGGCTCTATTTATACCTGAGGGTTATTATTACAAATGTATCCTGAAAGCTAGTTCTGGACTCCCTCCCTACTTGCTAATTTTATGGAGATCCGTTGTATTGTGTTTGATGAGGATTCTAAATGTTTTGAGATAATCTGGAATTAGGGGATATGCATAATGCTTTTGCATTACTCTCTGGGGAGTAATTTGATTTGTGTTTTCCTGGTGGCTTAACCCATTTTATAATTTGCCGGCCCATGGTCAAAACTATGGGCCAACAAGGGTTTTAAGTTATGGAGACTCTTGTGCAGAAGCATTTTGTTGTCTCTGTTTTGAAATGAGAGGAGAACCGGGTTTATTCTCTTGGAGAGAGCAGTTGACAAAGAAATGTCTTGATATTCCTGACTTCCAGACTGCTCATTTCTGTATTAAAGGGAAATCCAACTGATTTGTTTCGGCGGGAAAAGATTTCCAAGATCACTAAATCCAGCATTCCCTCAGCACTGCCAAGGTCACCACTAACTCATGTCCCCAAGTGCCACATCCACACATCCTGTGAGGCCCTCCAGGGGTGGGGACTCCACCAGTCTCCTGGGCAGCCTGGTTCAGCCTCAGCTTCCAGTACCTGCCCATCCTTTCATTGAAGGAATTATCCCTCATATCCCATCTAAACCTCCCCTGGCACAGCTGGAGGCCGTTCCCTCTCCTCCTGGCCCTTGTTCCCTGGGAGCAGAGCCCTACCCCCCCGGCTCCCCCCTCCTGTCAGGGACTTGCAGAGCCAGAAGGTCCCCCCTGAGCCTTCTTTTCTCCAGGCTGAGCCCCCCCAGCTCCCCCTCAGCTGTTCCTGCTGCTCCAGCCCCTTCCCCAGCTCCGTTCCCTTCCCTGCACACAATCCAGCTTTTAGTTTTCTTACAGCTTCATTAAAGTTTGGGTTGAAGAAGAAATAAATGGTGTTTGCAGAGCGATCGGGGTTGAGCTGATGTGGTACCTTCAAACTTAGAGCTGGAAGCTCAGCTTCAAATCACCCCTGAATGATTGCATTTCAGTGCTGAGTTGGAGTAAAAGGAGACTCCAGGTACAGGCAGTTTGGGAAGAGGTCAAATGTTGCATAAGAATAAGAGTCAGGCTGCCCTGGAAGTGTCCAAGGCCAGGTTGGACGGGGCTTGGAGCAACCTGGGCTAGTGGAAGGTGTCCCTGCCCGTGGCAGGGGGTGGAACAAGGTGAGCTTTCAGATCCTTCCAACCCAAACCATTCCATGATTCTATGGTTTCTGCTTTGCCTCAGTATAAATGGCATCACTGATTTCCTTCACCCCAGTAGGAACTGTGTATGTTTTATCCCACAAGATGAGTCCCAAACTCGGATATAAGCAAACAGTTATTTAGAAGAGTCTGGGAGGTACTTCCCAATCCTGTTTTCCTGCACACCACAGACACCTGCAGCATGGTGAATTTAACCAGCAGTCCCACTTATCTGCTGTAAAACAAACTGCAATTTTAGCAACTGTTTGGACTCTGTAAGGCCCTGTTTGTGTGATCTCTTGAAAGAATGGTACCGTGTCCCTCTGCCTGCTTTCTGTGCAGAGAACTGGGAATATTGCATTGCTACTGCCTGTTCAACATACCTAAATGTTGCATGTGCCCTAATGGTAAATGGGCACACAGAAAGATTTTTTTGATGTGATTAATTTGATAGAATTGGAACTGGATCTCAGGCCTGAAACCTGTGTATCCTGCAGTGCCCTGCTGCCACTGGTGCCCCAGCTTTGTAACCTGAGTCTGTGTAAGCAAGTCCACAGGACAAATTGGATTTCACCTGTTTTGGCACCCTGATTTACCCTGAAATCTGAATTTACTGGTGTGTGAACATATGCATGAACTGGCATCTGAGTGTGTGCCTGGTGCTCTCTGTGTGTTTCCCACTTCATTGCCCTTATGAAAGCCAGAATAAAGAGCAGATAAGTACAATAATGTGGATTTCTCAATCTCCAATACTTGATAATTTCTTCTGAACACACCACTGCAAATTCAGGCTGGTAAATGGGAAAGAAGCAGATTAGTCAGACTTCAGTTTGTGGTTGGAAGTAGCAGTGGATATGTAAAGAATCCAAGAGAATTCTGTTATGTACAGATTATTTCTTGTGGGGTTCTTATGGAATAAATTGGTGGGGAGAAAACTTAGAAAACTTTGAAATCTCTGATCTGAAGAGCAGATGCAGTCTTGGAATGGCAGCCAATGGATCATCCCATTGCAGCCCATCTAAAACCCATTTCAAGTGTGAAGCATGTTCAGCTTTATCAGATTGTTTTCCCTTTTGCAGGCTTCCAACAGGACCTTTGATATTCCTCTCACTTTGTCCGGAGCAGTAGTTCTACGGGAAAGACTAAATTATGAAGAAAAGACTCGTTATTTTGTCATTGTTCAAGCAAATGTGAGTATAAATCTCTTAAAGGCCATTTCTGCCACTGATTTAGGTGGGTTTTTAGTTTCCTTTCCAAGCAAAGGCAAAGCCTTGCTGAAATATCAGGTCTGATAAATCCTCTTCTGCTGAAGATCTAATTTAAGATTTATCTGGGCTGCTGAAAGCTCAGACATATTATTACTGGTTAAAAAAGCCTGCTCAGTGTGTGTGACAAGCCAACCTTTTTGGCACAAGGAGCAAGTTGCAAATTTGCAGTGCAGCCCATGCAGAAAAGTGCAGTCTGGTGGCACTAAGTGTTCATTTTCTAACAAATCTGGCAATGCTAATTTGAGCTTAAAGGAGTATAATGGATACAATTTCCTTGTATCCTTCAGGTTTGAAATGCATTTTGCTCTAAAGAGGTGATTTTTCCTTCAAGTCATATCACAAGTGTGCAGAGAGGTTTTTCCAGAGTGGCTGGCAGTGGATAATACACGGAGAAGGAAAGTGATGTTTAAACTATATCTCAGATATCTGTCATCAGAGAAGTTTTTTGGTGCCCTTGAGGGCTGTGGAAGCTTTTTTCCCTTGTTGTCCTTCTGATAACAGCTGTAAATGAAAACTTCTCCTTTGTTGTTTACCCTGTTGTGATACGACCTCGTTCGAGGGAAATGAGGCAGCTGGAGATATCTCGCTCCTCAATCCTCACGTTTGGGGTTCTGTCATCTCCCCAATACAGAAGCACAGATACATTTCACAGTCTGTTTTCTTACGTATTTTGTGGCATGTTCAACATTCTGCCAACAGAAGACAGGCTGTGGGGCTGGCTCAGTGCTTCCTGAGCTTCTGCCGTGCTCAGGTGAGACCCCCCTGCAGAGCTGCTCCAGCCCTGGGAACAGCACAGCAAGGACATGGAGCTGCTGGAGCCAGTCCAGAGGAGGCTCCAAGAGGATCAGAGGGCTGGAGCAGCTCTGCTGGGAGGAAAGGCTGGGAGAGTTGGGATTGTTCAGCCTGGAGAGGAGAAGCTTTGGGGTGACCTAATTGTGGCCTTCCAGGGCCTGAAGGAGTCAACAAGAAACATGGAGAGGGACTCTTTCCAAAAGCCTGGAGTGTCAGGACAAGGGGGAATGGCTTCCCACTGCCAGAGGGCAGGGTTAGATGGGATATTGGGAAGGAATTCCTCCCTGTGAGGGTGGGGAGGCCCTGGCACAGGTTGCCCAGAGAAACTGTGGCTGCCCCTGGATCCCTGGAAGTGTCCAAGGCCAGGTTGGAGCAACCTGGGCTAGTGGGAGGTGTCCCTGCCCATGGCAGGGGGTGGGGATGGCTGAGCTTTAAGACCCCTTCCAACCCAGGCTATTCTGGGATTATAAAACACCACAGGATGCATTTCATTCCCTCTGTTGTCTGTGGTGTGCAATCACACTTCTACTCCACTGGTCACAGTATCATGTTCTTGCATCTCGAAGATACTGCATGGAATTAATTCCTCTGGACCTTCTTTGATCCAGTATCACTCAAAGGCACATACTGGGGGAATGTAAGGAAAGTTTAGCTGAGGAAGGCTGCTCCTTGTGGCTGGAATTGTTTTTTGTCACTGACCTTGAAGAAAGCTGAATGCAGAAATTCCCATATTTACTATAAATGTGAAGCTGTTCCAAGAAGTTCCAAAATATGTATCCCATCTTATTTAGAGAAATGACCTATTCCTTTTATACAGATATTAATTATTAATTATTTATGCCATATTAAATGGCAGAAATACAGAAAAAATTAATTAAAAATTCCTTTTATTTTCTTTTCTGTTAGTGTTATATTAGGATAGAAGGGCAAGACTCAGCTAATGGCCCATATTTCCTTAAGTCTGTAAAAAAAAGCAACAGTCCTTCCATGAAAATAGAAATACTTTTGACTGATTAAAATAAAAAAATAATGGCTAATCATGCTGTCCTCTCTCTGTGATAACAAAAGAAGAAAGAAGAGGTGCTGTTAGCTACTGTGCACCTTGTTTAGTGTGTAAAATTAATGTGGGTGGTTCCCACAATTCAGGAACTTTCAGGCTTTATTCTGTGTCATCTAGAAAGAAAAGAAAGGAGACAGCAGAGAAGTTGCAATAGTCAGTAGTGTCTTGTGTACCTAAAGAATAAAAAAAAAATAAACAGAGATGAGAACCTACCATGCAGTGTGGAGATTTTTTTGGGGGATGGAGCATTGTATCTGCTTTATTGTGGACAGAAGTGTTCTTGAACCTTTTAAATCATGAGCATTATAACTCATTCTGTGGACAAATCAGCTTTCCACAGTTTTTACAATTGATCTTGGGTCAGTCCCATAGCTGTCCTCTGGCTGGTTTTTTGGGGAGAGGGGAGAGGGAGAGAGGTGCTAAATCTTTCTTAAATTGAAGTGGATTGAGCATTACAGTCCATGACAGATGAACCTCAGAATCATGGACTAAATGAACTCATTGCTGGAGTCAAGGGCCAATGAAATCAAGGGACATTGCAGTGGGATGCTCTGAGGGTGAGGAATGATATCTGTGTGTATAAACAAGGCAGCAAAGGTGGTGGGGATTAATTGGGATGTATTCATTGGGATGCATTAGGAAATGTGGGACCTGGGCATGACGTAGACAGTGTAGAACAAAGCATGGATATTGTCCTGCTTTCAGCTGAGACAGAGTGAATTCTCTTCCTAATGCAGGACTGTGGTGTGAATTTAGGATGAGAGCAGTGCTGGGGACACGTGGATGGGTCAGGAGGTGTTCACTCAAGTCAAGGAGTCCTCAACAAGGAAGCTGGGGGCACAAGAAGCTGGGAGGGGGCAGTTGGGACAGCTGATCCCAGCTGGCCCAAGGGATATTCCAGACCATGTGACATCCTGCTGAACAATAAAAGGGGGGGCATTTGGCTGGGAGGGGGCAGCTGAGCATCTGTCTGTGGGTGGTGAGCAGTTGGATTGTGCATCAATTGTGTGTTCTTTTATCACCAGTATTATTATTTCCCCTTCCTTTTCTGTCCCATTAAATTGTCTTTAACCTCAACCCATGAGTTTTACCTTGTTTACTGCTCCTCTCCCCCATCCCCCTGGTGCTGTGGGGTTCAGCTGCCTGCTGGGTAAAACCCCATAATTTGACATTATCAATAAGGCACGAGGGGCTTTTTATCTTTTACAAATTTGCTGCATTTTTATAGATTTCATACTCCAGATTTCCCAACCTCTGTTATTTCTGAGTGACAGATGTCTTGCAGTATTTCTTAACTTTTCCCTCCTAGTTGTATTCCCGAGCCTCTGAGGCTGAAGTTCCTGTAATTTAGCAGGAATGTGGATAACTGTGTTTTGTCCTTCGCTTTGCTTCAAACTTTTAAGTAGGTGCTGACTTCAGAAAGTCTCCCCATTTGCTCCACAGGACCGAGCCCAAAATCTGAATGAGAGAAGGACAAGTACAACCACCCTGACAGTGGATGTGCTGGATGGGGACGATTTGGGACCAATGTTTCTCCCCTGTGTCCTGGTGAACAACACCCGTGACTGCAGACCCCTCACCTACCAAGCCAGCCTGCCCGAACTCACTGATCCTGTAAGTCCTCTGGAGTTTTGGCAAGTTTGATGTGTTTGTTTTGCAAGCAACTGGCCTCTGTTTCTGTGGACACGATTAAGAACTGTGATCAAGAAGGTCCTGTGTGCTTTAGGCTGCCTTTTGTGTGTTAAGCAAAAGAAAACCAGGGTAAGATCCATGTGGTGAAATCCCAGCTTTGATCCAATGGCGAACTAATCCCTCACTGCATAGACTGAGTCTCACTGAAATCTGGTAAATTGTGGAATTGCTTTTCCTGATCTGTCTGTGTTTCACTCTCAGAATATCCCAAAGAAGCACTTCTGGGAGGGGACTCGACATGTTATTCCATGCAGGGTTGTTACAAACCTTAGGAGGAATATTTTTTTAGAAGAGGAAGCATTAGTCACTCGTCCCTGGGAAGATTTTTTGGTTTTGTGGTCAGGTTTTGATCAGGAGGCACTGAAGAGCAGTGGGGGTTTATCTCATGTAGGTGCTTTTACTAAGTGTGTATGTTGGTATATCCATAAACAGGGATAAAGGTGAGTGTAAGGCTCATTCCATGCTCAGTGTGCACAGTGAATCACCAAATGAGGTGAGAACTTGATCATTTCTTGGTGCAAGATGGTGCTGGAACCCTTTCCCTCCAGGTGTGATGGAGATGTGCATCTCTGTTGGGGGGGCAACAGAAAGAGGAATTTCTCAATTGATATATGACCTTTGATTCATATGTTTAAGAATAGAAAAAGGAAGAACCAGTTGAATCACGAGGTATTACCCCCCCTGGTTAACTTGGACATTAAGATGACAGTAAAATAATGTTAAACATGGACATTCAGGTCATGACTTGGCTCGTTGCAGGACACACTCTCTGTCCTGCTTCCTCCAGCCAGGAGACAGGGGAGGTTGAAGCTGTAAGTGTGGAGGTTCCTGCTGTTCCCTGCCTTGTCTGTCTTGCTGTCCTGTGCCTCCTAGTCTTTTCCCCTCCCACACATTTTGGTGTCTTGCTTTGTCTGCCTCCAGGGGTCCTGCTGCAGTTATACCTGAGCTGGGTCAAGGGAAGGGGAGAGATGATCCATATTTAATCTTGGTGCATTGGTTTGCACATCCTTCACACACACCTTGGCACTTGATTAGTCTTTATAACTGCATTTTACTTTAAGTTGATTTTACTTCTTTAAATTCTGCATTAACTTGGTTTGGGCTTAGTGGCCTCACAGGGGTTCCAGAGCAACCCAGATTATGCAGGATGACCAGGATGACCCCATCTTGCCTGCACAGATCTGCTTCAGTTCCCAGTACAGGGGCAGGTGAGGCAGGAATCATTAATAACTAGTGTTTGGTCATTCCCTTCTCTTTTTTTATCTGGTTGTAGTGCAAACCACACAGTTCTGGGGACACTGTGCTCTCAGATGAGGGCAGTGCAGCTCTGTCCCCGTTCCTGTCCTTGCTCAGGCACATGTGCTCCACTGGAAGACACAGTGTCTGCCAGAGCTTGGAAAAATCTGCCCTGTGATGTAGGTGCTGAGTTACAAAATATTTTTATTTACCTTCCTAAGCTGCAGTCAGTTCAGGTTCAGTTCAGCTTCTTTTGTTTGCTTTCTGGCTTTTTTTTTTTGCATCGAACTGCACCGTGAGAAATGTGATCTCTGAAGCGAGAACCTGGTTCTGCTGATAAACTCTGAACTTTTTGCCATTTATCTACGTGCAGAAATTTTGATAAACCAAAGTGGAAGAACTTATACCTTGGTACCTCAAACATCTACTTGACTTTTAAGTGATAGTTCCTTTAGAAGATACGGATGGTACCTAAAAAGATTCAACTAGGAAACACTTATATTACATTTATCCTTTATTTTATCTTTTTATGTGTTATATTTATTCTTTATTAACCTACTATTAAGCTACTACATAGCTACCATTACCCTACTCCATAGGCTAAAGGACTGTTTTTAGTTTAACATCATCTTTTTGTTTTTTTCTTTTTTAATTTGCTTTTTAATTTTGAAATGAACATGAGAAGGAATATTAATGAATCTAGAGCAAAGTTGAAGTATGAATTATTCAGAAGCAATAGCTTGAAAGAGAAGTCCTGCTTTGCAGGGCAAGATGTCTACTCAGCTGACCCCTGAAGGAAAGCATTTAGTGTAGGTGGGAAGAGTCATATTTTGGCTCAGTCTTGCACAATTCCTTCTCTGCAGTTGGCATCTATCCATGAATTTACTGAGGTGTTTCCATTCCAAGCTGCTTTCCCTTGGACCCAGAGCAGCTGGATCCTCTGGCAAGGAAGAATCCATACAGTGTCTGCTTTGTTTATAGTCTTGGGCTGAGCTGGAAGAAACCAGTGATGGAGGAAAAACTACTTTACCAATTCCCAAACCAGGAAAGGAAATAAATCTCCTGACTTCTGAGTCCTCTAATAATCATTGCCAAAATTACCCTACAAAAAAAGATACAAAGCCCATTCTAAGACAGCATTGTTTGAAGTTCTGCCTCATAAAGTCAGAGGCTTTGCATATGTATTATTTCCTTTAGAGGACTGCAGGGAAGTTTCCAAGAAAAGCTGTGTTGTTTGTTGATTGGGGTTTTTTGTTGTTGTTATTGTCGTGACATAGTTTTATATTTAAATTATATTTGGGAATTAATTTTTTCCTCCTTTTGTATCAGGAAGACTTGAATGAATTAGCATTTATTATGGGGACATGGAAGCCATATCAAATGGAGTTACAAGGTAGAACCTCATGAATATCTCACAGCCTTGGAAAGATAATTTCTCCTCCCTCCTTCCCCTTCAGTCTGTTCCTGTCACACGTGCTTTGGGAAGGTTTCCTCCCTTTCTGTACTTGGTATCTTCCATCATTATGCAAAGAAGAAAAGCCAGTTAGCAGCAAAATATAGATGAGGTTTGATTAATTGATTGCTGGCCTGGTTTTGTGAGGCTGTGCTCTGGTATCGTGTTCCAGGGGGTAATTCCCACTATTATACTCCAGGACACCTTTGGGCCTGGCTTTGTCCTCAGGCAGGACTCAGCCTCGCTGCACTGGGAGGTGTTGCTTGTTCCTGCACTGCTGATGGATCCTTCTACATGGAAAACGTTTGGTTTTGTACTGATTATCCTCAGAATCCTCAGGAGCTGTGTCAGCAGGGACCTTCCCAGGTCTATGGGCTCAGCTGCCCTCACGGAGAAGGGTCTGAGCAGGGCCCTGAGAGATGAAAGGCTTAAACCAAAAAGAGCTTAAAAAGTTCTCAAAGGACAGTGCAGTTGAGGGGAGTAAAAAAAGACACTGAAGAGCAGAAATTGCCCCTAGAAACCCTCGGGTTTTTATTACAGAGAAGGACCTCTCTGGTTCCATCAGTTTGGATTCAGGAGGAGAAAACTGCATTTCTTGGAGGTGGTTTTGTAATCCTGCTGGATGAGGCTGGTGTTGGGAACACAGGACACTTCCTAAGTATCCAGGTTTAATCACCTTTGTACAAATCACTTTTATGCTTATTATTAAGAGCTAATTAACCTTTCAGAAGATGGGCTGGTTTTTGGGTTCCTCTGGCCTCGAAGATGACAAGCACTTACCAATTCTTTCCAACTGAATTCTCTTGCAGTTAGTTCCTTGTACAAATCCCAATTCCATCCAAACACAAAACCTCCTGGAAGTTTTCTCACAGAGACACATTGACATCAAACTTGCAGTAGCTCAAGTGATGTCTAAAACTTCTAGAAACAGCATCTCCCCCTCTTAGTTCTAGTGGCAGGTATTAGTCAGAGGGTGAAGTCCATCATCGTGTTCTGGGTTTTCTCTGGTGGTTTTTTAATCAATTTATTTATTTCATTATTCCTGGGAAATAAAATAAATAAATAAATAATATAATTTATTTATTTCATTATTCCCTGCCCAGAGAAGACATTTGATCCAGGGATCTACCACACAAACTAACAACAAATACCTTCCTGAGGTGTGTGAGTCACTTGCTAGTTCACCTTGAGTTCCCCATACAGCTGCCAAGTAAGATTTTGGGGGCACTGAAACACACAGTCTTCATAATTTGGCCTGTTAAAACTTTACTCTGAGTTGAAGTGGGTATGTGTGATTAAATCAGCTTTGATAAAAGCTTTCAACAAATAAGAAATGCCTCTTTCACCTGCATGAAGGGTAAAACCCCACGGAGTAAGTGGGGTTTTCCTTGCTGACTTTTAAGCCTGACTGCTTTAAGTCAAACCCATGGGAGTGAATTTACCCCTAACGACAGTCAAACTGCAGAAAAACAAAATTTCAGCTCAGACTGCCAGCTTTCCTTGCCAAAGCTTTTCTTTTTCTTGGTTAGATGTGGTACATTTAAAACTGCAAATGTTCATGGTTAATTTAGGAAGTTGTTGGTTTCTGGAGCAGTTGAATCTCAATCTGCTTTTATTTTCTTTGCCTTATTTGCACTAAGATTTGGATTTTTTAAATTCAAACATAGTAAAAGAGGTTTGCCAACCTTTGGCTTGCTCTGCCTGTAGAATCTTACGAGCTGTTGCATCCAAGCTTCAGGAAATTATTTGGGATTTAATTTGTTTCTAATTATTCCTTTCTCAGCTGAATAGGTGCTGTCCAATTTTTGGGGCTGATGCTCTTGTAGGGGATGGTATTTACACTTCATGCTGGAATTAGACCATGATTGAGCACAGTTATGTCCCCTGGCATAATTAAATGTTTCAGGTCTGGCTTCCAGAGAAAACAGAGCTCTCATCATTAGGAGAACTGCGTGTTTCTCTTTGTACAAATAATTGTGGTGAAGAAAGAAGTGACTTTTTATGTTTTGAATAATCAGAGTCGTCCGGCTCAGCTGTTAATTAGACTAAAATGTTTGGTGCAAGATAATACGTGCTGTCAGCTGTTGGGCTGTGAGATGAATGTGAATTCCTGGGTAATTCCCAGCCAAAAATTATTTGGTGGACAGGGCAATGATATCACCTCAGCCACAGCACAAGAAACAGCCATAGAAAAGCTTTATAAATTGTCTGTATCTCTACATGCTCGGGTTGT